ATTGGAAAGCAACCGGAAGAAATTTGTGTAATCAACTTTATCCACAGCCATATTATTAAGGAGTTTGTTGATCAACTGTTTATTGTACTTCGGAAGACCAAGTTTTCTAGTCATCATAGCTTGATACTCATCCATGAATTTGTTTCCATATCTGTAACAAGTCATTGCAAATACCCTATAAGCAACTGTCATTGGCAAATATGCTTCCATTAAATCTAGCAATTACAAAATACAAGTACCTTTCCATGGCATAATCTGCCTCCTTCTCGTTAATCAACTTGGCAGTTGATAGGGTAGCTGTGAACTGTGCAATATTCCATAAACCAATATCAGGCTGATTTGCAAAACAGTATCTTCTTCCTGGAAGATCCGTGGTGTTTGGAGTGAAACTAGGATCAAAGGCATCCAGGAATCCAAAGGGACCATAATCAATGGTGAGACCCAGTATACTCATGTTGTCAGTGTTCATTACTCCATGAGTAAAGCCAACCCCTTGCCAGCTTGCGATCATAGAAGCAGTCCGTTCAGCAATCTCCACTGTCCAAGCTGAAAAAGTTCACAAGATAAAGCAAAATGAGTAGAATACAATGGAGGACTCTGGAAGATGGTCCAGATTAAATATGGGACGACAAGGGTGCCCTAATCAATAAAAGTAAATTAATTCAATCTCAAGTATCATGGATTCAAAGTACTTAAACCACAATGTAAAATAATTTTCATATTTAATCATTTCTGACTATAGGTTGAACTCTTCATGAAGCTCACACAGTACTTCCTTTACTTTGCAGTCTTCTTAGGCAAGCCACATACCGCTGTAACAATTCCTCTACATACCTAACTCTTACTATAATCTAATGGAAGCTCTATATTTACCTGCATACTTGTTTGAGGTCAGATCCACAACTGAATGATCTTCATCGCCTGTACTAAAAGATAAGCTCTCACTTTTATTCATGCTCTCGATATGAGGAAAATGATGTTTGATGGCATAATCTGCCAAAGCACGAACAATTTCAAGGTCCTCTTTCCCTCTAGAGGCATGTATTTGGTACGAACCAAACCGAAGAAATGATGGTGCAACTCGGCAAACAATAGCACCAGGTTCTTCCTTTGCATTGCCACTGCAAAAAGAAGTGCAAAAACTTGTAATCAGCATTCACTGAAGAGCATCTCAAAGTCATCACGTGAATACATAGACCAAACAGTTGTCTTTCAATTCCAGGAGTTCCCAGTAACATGTTATAATTTCCATTTCCACCTCTGTCAGTCAACTAAAAAATGTTTAATGGAAGTGCAAAAGAGTAATATTTGCAACCAAAAAACAGAAATATTTCCTAATTAATGAAAGGTAAATGAAGTTCAAGGCTACAGCATATTCCATTGTGACAAATACTAAATTCATTTTCAAAGTCTCTAAACCTCCAGTTCCTCCATGTGTCAAAAGGCAAACTTTCTAGTATCAGCATAAATCCCCAACAGAACATCACGTAGAAGCACTAGCACAAAGGAAATAAGTACTCTGTGAAGCTCAAAAAACAGAAAGCATTCCGTTAGCAGAAAAGTCAAAACCCTGACAACTTACTCATAAAACATGTCACGGGTAACATATTTTCCTGTTGTCACGAGAGAAAGTGCACGAGTTGTCGGGATTCCTAGACAGTGCATTGCTTCACTGCAAAGAAATTCTCTAATGCTGCTACGCAAAACCGCAAGGCCATCTGCAAAACGGCTATAAGGTGTCCTCCCAGAACCTTTAAGTTGCAGTTCCCACCTTTCAGACTTTGAGTTTACAACCTCCCCAAGTGTTATTGCCCTACCATCACCCAGCTGACCTGCCCACATCCCAAATTGATGTCCTCCATAGCACTGAGCATATGGCAACCTGCAAGAAAAATGTCAATATGTAAATAAATACATAGAAGCACGATGCCTGGTCAAGTCACAACATAAATCCAAAGTTACAAAACTTACGCTCCAACCAAAGGAGAAGCCCCTGAAAACAAAAGGGGAAAATCTGGCCTTACAAATCTGCAAATCCCAGCACAAAAAACTGTCATTGGTCATTCAGTCTCGTGAATATTGAAAATCAACGCCCCACACATTCTCAGCTGTGCACGCATAGAACATGCCCATGTGAGTGGGAACCCGCAATATCCATCGCGGGCATATTCTAAAACAAACTTAGGATCACACAAACGAACACGCAAACTTGTAAACTATCAGTAGATATAAATTGATAAAGATGCTAAAACCATAAAATTTCTTAACTAATTCAAATCCAATCCACCCTACAAACCCACAATTTATATAGTTTTTTATCATTTTCTACACACAAAAGCGCATAAAAAAAGTCAAAAAAAATCAAAAACTCACTCTTTAGGATCCAAATCAAATAAATCTGCAACAGAATCAGACCAAGCAACAAGCTCAGGGTTCTCCACTTCAGCAGATGGTAACACTTTCGAATAGCAAGCATGCATCACCTACACCCACAACAAAAGCAACAACCCACGATTTATTCCAATCCAGACAGCACAAAAAACCCATAAAAATCAAAACTTTTCAAAAAAAATCAAAAAAGAAAAACTACCTGACGTGGAATTGTATCAGACCTTGGATCCCCAGGCAATGCTCTAACAAAAGAATGGTCCCAATTGAGATCTTCAAGCTTCAATTTAGCCTTACTAACATCATCAGGACCTAAAGTTTGATTCTTTAAATCCTGCGTCACGGAGTCGAGTGACACAGATGGTTCTGGTGAGGATGACTCCATGGAAACACTACTACTACTACCTCTGCTGGAAGGGAAGGAGCTGGTGCTGACGTGGCGTGACAGGGAGGGTTTGAAGAGGTGAGCAGGAGGTGATAGAGGGCAGAATTGGGATTTGAGGCAAGAGGGAGGGTAGAAAGGGAATTTGACAGGGAGGAAGGGACGGAGGAGGGAGAGTGAAGAGGAGGAATAAGAAAGCAGTGGTGGCATTGTTGAATTTGGTTGCCTTTGACTGATATATTCAAGCGGTTTGGGTTTTGTTTGGGAAGTGTGTAAAAGCTTCTGCCTTCAGATTATGCGTTGTCTTTTTATGGTTATATTTTTATATAAATTATCGAAATTTTATCATGATAATTATTGCGCTAAAAATATGTTGTTTTGATAGCTTTTAAATAAAAGGACGTTGTTTTGAGAAGAAAAAACAAATCTTAGCTGTTCGAAACTCATCCTAGTTGGGTCAGTCAAGTTTAAAGTAGATGAAAATAACAATGGGTTTGCTAAGTAGCGGAGCCACGTAGGGTCATGTCATGAGTGGGCGAATACCCCCTTAATTTTTTTTATTTTCTTTAATTTTTTTATATTAGAATACTAATAATATTTAGTAGATTAAATTTTCTTTTGTTGGTTACCAATTAATTCAAGTAAGCTACTGTTAATTTTAGGAGTGAATAAGAAAATTAAAAAATTAATTAAATCAAAAATTAAAAAAATCAAATCATAAAAAAAATTAATTAACTGAAGTTAAGTTTTTATTTTAAAAATATTCTTAAATTAATTTTATTCGATATGAGTTAGGACATATATTTTAAATTAATTTATATATATAATGTATATTTATATAATATATAATATATAATATCAAGTATTTATTAATAATTTACCTTTTCATTTAAAAAATTTCGTCATTGAATTAGATATGATATATAATATTTTTTATTTAAAAAAATATTAAAATAAATTTTTTATTTTTAATATTAACACATTAAAAATATTAAAAAAACACTAAAAAATAACATTTTAATATTTTTTTGTAATTTTAAAACACATCAAAATACCAAACTAACTCGATTCCAAACACAATTGAAACCTGCCTGCTTCAGTTAAGTGAATGACCAAGTCCCCATGCCAGTCTTATTATAAATTAAGTGTATGATCACATTTTTCTTTTTTCTTTTTTCATGTTTTTATTGTATATAGTCATATTGTTCTCGTTCAATGAAGTGCTTTGTCTCTTGCAGCCTTGTATATTAAGTTTGACAAAAGTCTATGGAGTGAGAGTGGACATTCATTTAATTGATGAACCCTAGTTTAAGTGAATTAACACTTCATTAGAAGGAATGCTAGCTAAATTATTCTATGAAGTCATAAGATTGCGTATCAGTTGGGTAAGATGACAAATATTTTATTTAAAAAAAATTAATAAATTTTAATAGTATAATAAATTAATATATCAAATTAAATTAGACTAGCTCGACTAAATTCAAATATAGTTAAATTTCTTTTAACATTAACTATTAATATACATAATTTTTCTATAAAAAAAAGTAGCAGTTGGTTTTTCTGAATAATTTAAGATGATTAATTGTTATATGTTCTAGAAAAAAGGGGGGGTTTAATTAGCATGAAATGTTTTGGATTTTTCAATATCAATCATATGGTTTTGCATGCGATGACTCATTCGTCAATGTCTATAAAACGATCAAGATTAAACAATCAAATTATTAGCATGCAACATTATTTATTTTTGAAATTTTTAATTACTAAATTCATAATCAACTTTCAATTAGAGTCTTTTAAGCAAAGAATTTCTAGTTTAATATTTTTAGAAATTATTAATGATGTTCATCACACTAATTGTTGTGGAAACATGCTAGTCCCGTGTAAAAAAAAATTATAAATAAACCTTTTATACTGGATTCTTACACAAATTAATATATCAACTCACAAATCTTCCCATATATTTATATAAGAATTCTATATTTAATTAAAGAGTGTTAATATCAATATTTAATATTAATCGTTTTGTTTATTTGGTCTTAACTTTTTTTAATCAAGGAAATATGATATCTCAACTCTAGATTAAATGAAACACAATGGATATCAATCCTTTTCAATCTCTAAATATCAAGGAAAAAAACCCTAAATCAAATTAATTTTTTCTCTAATTTCTTAAAAGAAAAAACACTTGTCATAAACAAAAAAGAAATAAAAAATAAAAAACAGCCAATAGCCGGAACTCAAACTCAACAATTAACTGCAGACAAAAGAAAAAAAATTAAAAAAATCCATTTCAAGTCCGCGTTCCGCAATTCACTATCTCGAAACCCTAATTTGCTCTCCAAAATCACTCCCACCAACAATTACCACTCAAATTTCTCACAATTCCACGCGTCTTTCTCAAAACGCCGTCGAGTTTCTTTTTTGAAGCTCTCCGGGTCGTTTTCCGGTTCAATTTCGAGGAATTGGACGGTAAATTATTAGGGTTTCATTTTACGCCACAAGGAGAGGTTAAAGTTCGAAACTTTCTGAAAGGGTTTTATTTAAAATCTCCTTTTATTTTAATCGAGTTTTAGTTACTTTGAAGTATTTAGGGTTTGGTGAAATTTCAATGGACGTTGAGGATTGAATGGTAGCGGTGAGTTTATGAAATATTTGATCTTTTTGTATTTTGGTTTAGTTTTCTTGAATTTTGCTTAAATTCCTTGTTCATCAAGTTTTTAGCTGGTGTTTTGGTTGAATTAGGTCCTTTTTTTTGCTGAATTTAGTTTATTTCCTAGTTTATGAAGTTATTTAGTTGGTGCTTGAAGTAAAAAAGGAACCAAGAAGGTTGTGTGTAATTTAGTTTTTTAATTGCTTATAGGGTTAGAGAACTAATTATGTGAACACGGGCTACTTTTTTTTCCAATGAATTTGGCTTAAATTTGTTGTTTTCTAAAGCAGCACTAAGCATTTGTGATCTCTGAAGTGTGCTTCTTAATTTGTTAATTAAGAAATTTTCCTTTTCATTTGTTTGTCAGGTTGTCTGCAGCTTGAATTTGTGAAGAAGTCGGTTGGTTTGTTACAGTGGTCGAGTGTATTTTTCGTGATTAAAAGGCTGAAAGTGACAAGCTTGAATTTTTAGGGGTTGAAATGGATTACGAGCTTTCTGATAGCAGCGGTGAGTTTGTTTAAAGTTCGCTGGTATTTGTAATTTTTTTGTGTTCTCCATGTCATAATATATTGAATTGTAAGCTTTGGAATTGTTACATTTTACTATACTGTAAAGAGTTAATGCAGTGTGTTCCTGATCTTTAAAATTGTAGGAACTGATGATGACCTTCCACCTACACATCGAAATAGATTCCAAAGTGGGGTGCGAACTGCTGGGAATGGAAGATCTGCAGTTGGTGGTGCCGCTTCACAGCCAAGGTTGCATAGTGACATGGAAAGTCAAATCCACAACATTGAACAAGAAGCATACACTTCAGTCCTGCGAGCCTTTAAAGCCCAGTCAGATGCTATTACTTGGGTATTATACTTGTTCATTTCATATGCATTAGATTTATGCTATATCATTGGATGTTAAACAAGTTTTTGATGCCCTTCCTATGAATGTTCTCCCCCAGGAAAAGGAAAGCCTAATTACAGAACTCAGAAAAGAACTAAGAGTTTCAGATGAGGAGCACAGGGAGCTCCTAGCCAGGGTTAATGCTGATGATATGATTCGGAGGATAAGGTTTAGTTTTTTCATGAAATATCTGCTGAGAAGATTCTTAGAAGATCTAATTTCCAGCCAGTTTTTCTAACAAGTGTTATCACTTATGGTTCCAGGGAATGGAGAAAGGCGAACGGGATCCAACCTAGCATGCCAAGCAATGCCCAGCCTTCTCACGATCCCATACCTAGTCCTACAGTTTCAGGATCTCGCAAGAAGCAGAAAACCTCACAGTCAGCCGCATCATTGTCCATGGGTGCACCTTCTCCTGTATTGCATCCATCTATGCAACCATCTACATCAGCCCTGAGACATGGCCCATCACCTGGATCCGGGAACAAGAAGCCCAAATCAGTAAGTTGAATAAGTGTGAGCAAAATGATGAGGATTTATACTAAACTGGTTTATCCTCAACTTTTTGGTTAATAAGGCTGTCTGCTGCATCCTTAATGAAGTCCATGCAGCAGCGTTCTACAGGTTTGTCCAGCAGGGCTCAAGCTGCTAATCGTGGTTCTTCAGGTGTCTTCGCAACCAATGATTTAATTGGAAAGAAAGTTTGGACTCGATGGCCAGAGGATAACCACTTCTATGAAGCCGTTATAACTGACTACAATCCAGTTGAGGTACAGTCTACTCTTGGCTATGTAATGGTCTGCCTATTACTGGGTTTCCTTTAACATAATCATTTTCCACAAATTGACAGGGGCGGCATGCTTTGGTTTATGATATTAATACTGGGGATGAAACATGGGAATGGGTCAATCTCAAAGAGGTAAGTGTTGCTGTGATCCTGGGAGCTGATAATGTGATATGGTTTATTTTACATCTAGTTGTCTTAATTCTGGCCTGCAATTTTTACCGTGTACATTCTGAATCTTGCATGTAGTTTGTAAAATACTGATAGAATAGATCTCCCTTTTTATTGGTTGTGGGGGTTTGACAATTCTCTCTTCTGTATTACATAGTAGTTTGGGGTAAAGTGGGATTGCTACTTGGTCTTCTGAAAGATTTGAATGCTGCTCCTGCTTGCCTGTTCTCTTTTTGTAGCATTTCCAAATATGATAGTAGAATTTTATCAAAAGAAGAATGACTTGTATATAAGAAATTGGCAGCTGGTTACTTGTTTACAAACTTATCATCCCCGCTGGCTCAACCATTGGAACATGAAGATTTGATTTGAAACGGTTTTTTCTTCTGTTGGATTTATGTGCTGTTGATAAGTTCAAGCTAACCTTTTTTCCCTTATGCGTGTGCTTTGCTTGTTCGTGGAGAATGTGATGTTAACCAAGTCCTTTGCTCCTCTCATCTTATTCCAGGCTAACAGCAGTTTCAAGGGTTCAATTAGTGATGCATTCAATGTGGCATGGCAGATTACAAAAAATGCTTAGTCTTTTGAACATTGTCCTCCCTTGTTTAGTCTGCCATCAATTTTCTTCATGTGTTTCCATCACACTTCATCTTTGGAAGGTGTCCTTTTCAGAGTCACATGAATTTCTAGTTTTAGCTGCTACTGATCTGTATGTGATAATGGCAGATATCTCCTGAAGATATTAGGTGGGAGGGTGAGGAACCAGGACTTTTCCGTAGAGGTGGCCGGCCTGGACCAGGCCGTGGGAATAAGAAAGCCATTGCACGTGGTGGTGCAGTTGTCACTGCAGGAAGAGGTAGAGGAACCACAAAGGGTCAGTCCAAAAAAGATTTCCCTCTAATCCAGAATGGTATTGGGAAGAAGGCTATGGGTGATATTGAGATACTTCACACAAATACTCTAATCAAGGAGGTAAGTTGGATATTGAAACTTGCTTTATGTTGAAATAAAGGAACTTCTTTTCCCTAATTTGGCCAATTTGAACAGGTAGAAAAAGTTTTTGGTGCTAGCCATCCTGATCCTTCGGAAATTGAGAAAGCAAAGAAAGCTCTGGAAGTAAGTACCACGCCCCTCGTTTTGCTTTAATATCTTTTGTTACTGCATTTATATCTTCCCTTCCATGCAGGAACAAGAACAAGCCCTGGTCAACGCAATCGCAAGGCTAGAAGAAGCATCAGATGGTGAAAGTGGTAATAACTAATTACACATAACATGTTCATATCTCCCCTGCTATCTGTTGTATCATCTAATTGTAGCTTTTGGGTATTCAGACCAGCCTGTAATAGTTGTATACTGCTGTTCGCCGAATTACTAGTTTTTTTATCAATCCAGTGAGATGCAAGTAAATCTCAAATGTTTATCTGAAAGCTATGCAAACAATTCATTGCTTGTCTTAAATTATCAAGCATGACCACTTGTGACTTCATTTTCATGCTAAGTATCAGTGGGATGTGATTGTTTACAGGCTAATCATTTTGGTACATGTGTAGCCCTGGTCTTAGTCCTCCATCGAAGTGGATTATTTTCACCAGAAAACAATACATTATTGATAATGAAAAGAATAAAATCTCCTTTTTCTTGGCATCAAAGCAGATGAGGGGGAACATCCATTTCCCCGTGTTCAATCAATGGACCAAGATCGGGGATGGAGAAAACGGTCATATGATGAGATTGTTGGTGAAGGTAGAGGAATTGAAGGTTCAGATGGCAACAAAATGGCAAGAAATGGCAGAATTGTTTCAAGCGATCAGCATGATGAGAACTATGACATGTGATTATTAGGCTTATTGTCAACGTGTGGCCCTGACTTGTATTATAGCTTCCTCAAATTTTATGGCCAGCCAAGAGCATGACAATCCCTGGGCTTATATATTAGCTAGGGAAGACAGTAGCTTTGATTTCAGTGTAACTTTAGTTTCATTTAAGTAGGAAAATGTTTATGTAAATTATTTTCAGAGTGATATCTGACCATGTAAAAATGGCTAAATGGCTTTGAATCTCCCTCTCTCTCTTATCGTTTTTGCAATAGCAATGTGGTAATAGGTTGGACGTTACTCTCACTGAATTGTTAGTTGACTCTGATGACATAGAATATGCAAACCATTTGCCAAATCCTGCAAATTAAACAAAGATAATCAGCATGTACAGCAAGAGTTCCTACAGGGGGCAATCTGACCCAGCACACCTCATAAACTGACATGGCATCTAATATTCCTATAATGATGAGATAAACGGAAGGATAAGGTTCACCATCTGGTTATCAAATTCAGGGCCTTCCATTTGGAAGTGGCTTGCTCCTTCAATTAGATGTGTTTCAACGCGTCCTACAGCAGAACTCAGCTTGTTCTGCAGCTGCTTTACACTGGTAAAGCCATCTCTAGTTCCCATAACAAAAAGTTTTGGCTTTGGAGAGTTCAGGACTGCCTTGTGGTGTCTTCCAAAAAGGATGGAGGCGAACATGCCAAAGGGGTACCCTATACTTACATAGCCAACCGCTTCTTTAATCTCATCGAGCGCAGAACCTGCAATTGGTGCACCTGTACCAGGGGAAAACAAAATCCAAAGATTAGTTTCACACAAGAAACGATGGAATTTCATATTGCTATGGCAGTTTATCTCGTGATTTTAAAATGATCACAATCATAGTACAGCTGCATCAATTCATTGCCATCATGTTAATTTACCAAATATGCAACTATGACTTGGATGCAGCAACAGAACAGCCTAACAAAAAAAAATATTTCGGAGAAAACTTGCTAAAGTTGACAGACTAAGAAATGAAAAACACAAGTTTGAAAGCTCTACTGGCATGGAGATCAAGCAAAACTGCAGGGAGTATATAATTATTTGATCAAATTCAATCAAAAGTAAAACAGAACAGAGAAATTTCCATTACCTAGACCTTCTATCATATGAGGCACAACAATATTCCTAGATATTCAGCTCTTTTTTTCTCTTACATTTTTAATAAGAAATGGAAATCACATTTGATGGCCCATGCCAGCCTAAATTATGGACAAATCCAAAATTCAGAAACATCACACCTGGAAGTCTTATTTTCCTTCACAAAACTCTCATCTTTGCAGCATTAACTCATCCTATCAACTAAAATCCGCCAAAAGATGCCCACATCAACACAAACAGGGTACAAGAACCAGAGAAGAGGTTGATAAAGTCATAGAAAGCAGATCATCAAATCTCAATTCATGGACAAAATAAACAAAACAGGCTATAGCTAACCTAATTCTATCAACAAGCACATTTATCACCAAAAATTGAAACTGAATACCATCAACATGCTCAAACTTAGTCCTCAATTCAATCAAACATCCAAATTAGCATATTCAACCATGCTGCAAATCACTTGTACAAATTGATTTGATCCATCAAATCCTGCCCTTCCTTGACAGCAAAATCATTATGCATCTCCTCGGATGTGCTGATGACCATTGACTGTTTTCCCTTTCATTCATTTTTCTTTCTTTGTGATAAGAAATTATGAATAACCAACATATCGGTAGAGTCTTACAACTATCACAGATTCACAATTCATAAACCAACACTAAGTTCACAGATCCAATAATCATCATCCCCATCAAGCATCCTAATTAATTCCCACAAAGCATTAAACTTTCCTCACCAAAAATCACAGCCAATTCACATATCATATCACTTCAAACCAAATAAAGCACATACCTGCAGAAGAACCCACCAACAAAATCCTATCAGAAGACAGATCCTCGCAGACCCATTTGCAAACAGCAATAACATCCTTGATTTCAGCAAAACCAGTAAGAGAAGCCCTCCCAGTAGACTTACCAGCACCTCTCATATCAAAGGTCACAGCTTTATAACCTTTTTCAGCTAACCCAGCAGCAATTCCTTTTAAAAGTGCTTGACAACCACCCAAGATTGAAAATGGATGTACAAGAACAATCACCAAGTTGCCTTTTACATCTCCTTCCTCTATTGGCTTGAACAGCCTTGTATGCAGCTTGGCTCCATCACTTGTCTCTACTTTGGTGGACTCAACTGTATAGTTTGACATGTTTCGGAGAAAGAAAGAAAGAGAGAGAGAGGAAATCAGACTAGGGGTGGCATTGATGAATGAGAAAGAGAGAAAGATTGAAGCTTTTCCAACTCGATTGGACAACAGTAAGGAATAAAGATTTTTTTTTTTTTTTTTTTTTTTGGGGGGGGGGGGTGGGGGGGTGGGGTGGGGGGGGAGGTTTTGGTAAGAATTGAGAGAAGTTATTGCACTGGTTCGTGGTAAGCTTTTTCAACAACTTTTATCCTTGTTTCTTTGCAATTGAATTATATTATTTTGTGTTTTTTATAAATAAATTGAATTATTGTTGTTATTATTTATTGTTTTAATTATTTAACTTGTTTAAAATTTGGTTGAATATTTATTATAAATTAAAAATATTATTATAAAACATATTTTAGTTAAGAAATGATTAATATTTTAAATAAAAAATAAAAAAATAAAATTTTAATAAAAATATATTTTTAAATATTAATCACAAATTATTTAAAATAAAAAGAGTAAGACTCTCGATCCTCTTTCAACCAAACTTGTCATTTTAGGCAGCCATAAAGAGCTAGCAATGCATATATAGCAAGAGATTACTAAAGTTGAATATAGTTACTTCAATGCATAATTTAACTTAGAAAGCATAGCCAAGAAAGGAGGCTTGAAGAAATTACTTGGATGTTGACATTCACCTGTTTTTTATAAAAACAATGAAACAGCAACCATCCGTTCTAATATTGTGGCGTAGACTTTATTGAAGTGTGTTATGCAATCAATATGATATTCAGAGGTTAGAGAGTTGCGAGAAATAGTAGCATGTATTTTACAAATAATGTAATGTAATTTCAAGAGATAAATTTTAATAATTAAATAAGTTTTTTTTTTTAATTTGAGATCAATATTAAAAAATATTTATCATTTTGATTGCATTAGATTCATACAAGAAACTCACTTTTAAGTATTATTTCAAAACCATATTCCCGATTAGTCAAACTAAATTTGAATTAATTAAGGTTAAAAATAATTTATTAATTTAATTAAAAATTTAAGTTAACTTGATTAACTTAAGATTAACTCAATAAGAACTTAGTTATTAATTTATTATTTTTTCTGAATTTTTTTTAAAATTATATTGTTTCTATTGTTTTAAAAAAAAAGTTAAAGATAACTCTACCAATCCATAGCCATTCTTTTTTTCATTAATAATATGGATTTTTAACATTAATATTTAATATTTAATACTTTAGCTTAAGAGTAATAATTTTTAGTTTGGTTCGATTTTTAACAAAAAAAATAATTAAATTAAAATTAAAAAAAAAAGGTCAAATTAGTTAGTTTTGATTTTTTAGGATAAAAACTGATTTAAACTGATTTGACTCTATTTTTTGGTTTAAACTGATTTGATTCTATTTTTTAGTTTGACTTGATTTTTTAATTTTGCTTGATTTTTTCTTATTTGACTTAGTTTTTTTTAGTTTTTTTTAGTTTGAGTTCAATTCAGTTCAAATTTTTTTATTTCAAACTTATAAAATAAAAACTGAAACAAACATATCAATTTTTTTAAAATTTTAATCGGTTTAATTAATTTTTTAAAATTAATTTTTTTTCATCTTAATTAATTTTTTATTTTTTTTCTCACCTCTGCTTTACAACCCACCCGCCCCCCGGTGGTCCTATTTGAAAATTTCGCTATTAATGTCTGCCCATGAGACCAAATTGACTCATAACCATAGGTTTCAAGTTGCCTAGATAAAGTAGATTATGGAGTGCACTCAAGTTTATTTTAAAATAATACTATTCTAGATAAAAAGAAAAATATTGTTATTATTTTAAACAAAAATTAAAAATTCTTTTGAAATCTCACGAAGAAACACAAACCCACCTCAAATTATTTTCAAGATCTTCAAGTCACCAGATGAACTTGCCAGAACACATTTAATATCCATGCTCGTAACTCTTACCACGTTACAAACCTTCGAATACACTAGCATGACGGGCAAGCGTAGGTCTCGGAGATGTTTTCTACCTTCAATGCTTCATGAAATTTAATTCAGGCAGGTTAGTTTCTTTCCAACTTCAGAAACCATAATGAAACACGCAGAGAAAAAAAAAAACTATGATTCATGTTTTCCCTAAACATGCTGTGTATATTCACTGGCCAGCAACTCCAAAACATTCTAAGAGTTCAAAAGACATCTCATTTCCTCCTGTCCAGTCTTCACCACACGCCCTCGCCCCTTCTTCTCCACTGAGCACGTGCAAGTCACTCTACACTGACCAGACAAAAATCCAAAAACTCCCTAAAATAATTTACATTATACAACCACCACTAGGATCACCTCCTTGACCTCTTTTTCACTCTTCCGCCACCCCCAACCCCTACCCCGGAATCCTCATTATCTCTCCCCCTCTTCCCCGTCCCGCTGCCTGACTCCATTTGCTTCTTCGGCGGCCTTCCTCGTTTTATGTTTCTGCTATCTTCTCCTGGTCCTCTTCCTCTTGAACTCCTTGTTATCCTCTTAGATATCCCATCTGCTTCCCTTCCTCTCCTCTTTTTATCCTGCTTTCTACTATCTCTACTTTCATCCTCCGAGGAGGAGGGGGAGGAGGAGGAGTCCTCCTCCGTCACTCGACTTGGAGAATTTTGCTTCATCCTTCTCAAGAAGCTCGCTGCTCCTTGTTTCTTCCTCCCTGTATGTTCTTTCCTATCCACCTTAATCCCCAACGCATCATGTGAACTTAATTCATTACCACCATATTGATGCTTTATCTCTCCATTCTTGTTGCTTGTCTTTGAGTTTCTACGACCCGAGACCGACCTTTCTTTAGTTGTTTTCTTCTTTAAACCCTTCTCCTCAATCCTATCAATTGAAACTTCAACCTTCTTCTCATTTACCTTATGTTTTCCTTTCATCTCTTTATCACCTTTTTTACCAGCACCTCCAGATATTGCTTTCATGGAACCGTGTTTGCTACAGGCTACCAAGGTAGATGAAGAAGATTTGTTCGGTTTTGAAAGCGCAGCAGAATGTTGTTCGGTTGCAGGCTTGGCAGCCACAGGTCGAGGTTTTGGTTTCCGAAGCTTCTCCTTCACTTCCTTCAAAACCACAGCTCGAAGTTCATTCGCGGCAAGATTTTCCGGTGAGTTTTTTCTAAAGAAAACAATTGCATTGTTTAATAAAATCAGGAGATCCTTGAAGAACTTTTGGAAGCAATTGGAGTAGACCCCTTTATTCAGCCTAGATTGAATCATTTGAAGATCCATGTGCTGCCGAACCAACATTCTGTACCTTTCAGATTCCTGTAAAACAGTAGAATTGTTGAAAGGAACATCCGATTCTAACTAGAAATATAATAATGAATTTTTTTCAAAAAAATTCCTTTTTCTTTCAAAACTCCCTCCTGAACGTGCTAGGTCACTACCGGTCACTGTTAAGCCATTTCACATTTAACAAAAGATGCTGGCTATTCCAAGGAAAACATGGCATCAACTTTGCAGGAATATTTGCGACTTTTATATCGGTTTTACTTTATTTTCAACTTTTTCAAAAATATCTCGTCAGCCAGCCGCAATCTCATTTACTTTGGCACCGTTTGCAAAAATATTTTCGATTTAAAACAAAATGATGTTTTTCCTTTAAATTATTTTTTATGTTTTTTTTTTATTTTAATATATTAATATTAAAAATAAATTTAAAAAATAAAAAATTATTTTAATATATTTTTAAATAAAAAATTCTTTAAAATATTAATTTACCCATCAAAACTAAAAGTCCAACCATAATTGAAACACGTGTCAAGGGATGGCCATTTGGTCCAACCAGTGGATATCAACTTTTGACCTGCTCCAAAGAAAACCCAGTTTTTATTCCCACCCAACTAATTAAATAATTTATTTTTATATTAACACTTTTAAATTATTAAATAATTTTATTTATGAGTTTATTATACATAGAAAATATTATAAAAAATCAAAACTCAATTAATCCCAATTCACAGAGCTTACATGTCAATGTAATTGCAGTTATTTTTAAATAATTTTTCATGTAAAAATATATATTAATGTTTTTTTTATTTTTTTAAAAATATTTTTAACATCACACATCAAAATAATTTCAAAATATTTAAAATATATTAATTTAAAATAAATAAAAAATATTTTAAATTTTTTAAAAAATATTTTTAAAATATAAAAATAAACAAACAAAACCATAATACCTAAAAAAGATCCATGAAACAGAAGAGACAAAAGCTGAACTTACATGATCCATCATAGTTATATTTTTGTATTTTAAAAGAGTTTTTTATTTTTTTATTTTTTTATTTTAAATTAATATTTTTTAGTATTTTTAATATTAGAAATAAATTTTTTTAAAATAAAAAATATTATTTTAATATATTTTTAAATAAAAAATATTTTAAAAAATATTTACAATTATATTTTCAAACAAACCCTCACTCAATTACTTATTTCCCTGTAAAAAATATTATTTTTAATATATTTTTAAATTGTAAATATTTTAAAAAATATTTACAATTATATTTTCAAACAAACCCTGACTCAATCACTTATAAAAAATATTTACAATTATATTTTCAAACAAACCCTCACTCAATTACTTATTTCCCTCTTTATAGCTTGGGATTGTTGTTAAAAACATAAGCCCAAATACCCTAACACAAAGATGCAGTTGCTGGCCCGAAACCAACCATTTTATTACGAAGCAACTAAAACTAAGAAGGAAGGGCTGTGCAATGAGGTCATAATCCAATTAGCCGTCAAAAAGTCAATATTCCTATCGTACAAGGCAGGTTATTATAAAAAATGACAGTGATGGAGCATTATGTATTTCTAATATATTCAGACTTTATGTGGATAGTTTGAATATCTATTATTTTAATATTATTTATTATTAATGTAAAATTATTTATATTTCTTAATTTTAATATATATAATAAAATATTAATATTCATTGCTTCCCTTTTTGCAAAAACAAACAAAAAATGAAGTATCCTTCAAACATGTTTAAACAAAATATTTAGCTTATATTTTGGGTAGATTGGATTTGTATTAAAAAAATTTAAATTTTGAATTTTTTAAATTATTTTTCTGATATATTTGTATTAAAAATATACATTTTTTATATAAAAAATAAAAAACAA